AAGAACAGCCGGGCCCCCCCCCCCCTCCCAATTATTGTTGCTATTATCATTATGATTAGTATTATTGTTGTTGTAGCTATAATGCAGGGGTATTCAATTGCATTTCAAAGAGGTCCAGTAAGAGAACATGTCATTAAATGCTCTGTTTTCGCTGTCTACCTTTCTCTTTTTTGAGCACACCATTTGAAATGACTGACTGTTTCTCTCTTCTTGTCTCGTGTCCGTGTGTGTTTGAATCTATCGTGCTGACTCACTGACTGCAACAATTTGATTGGCTGAGTAGCGTCACCTCCTTAAAACATTAAATAATAACTTTTTTAAACCTTTTTATCTTTATTGGGCAGACCGGGACTAAAAATCAGCCCTGGAGTCTCACCCAGCCCAGCCCACACAAATTGGAGCACGCTAGTGAACTGACAACGGGTGGGGGGGGTGCTCGTCAGCTCGTGGCGACAGAAAAAAATAAACTAGAAAAAATCAAAGGCCGGTGCCGGTGATGACTGGCCATTCTGTGTTTATCCAGAACACACAGATGGCCAGTCTGCCCCTGGGTGGAGGTGAAGGAAATGAGCACTTTTACAGCCTTTTTGGCGAGGTGGGGGAACTCGGTCTCCACAGACTCTGTGGAGACCGAGTTCCCCCACCTCGCCAAAAAGGCTGTAAAAGTGCTCATTTCCTTCACCTCCACCCAGGGGCAGACTGGCCATCTGTGTGTTCTGNTGCGGAGGATGTGTGCCAGTATTATTTGGGTACTCGCGGCAATATATTGCGGGAGTACACCCGTCGTGACGTGTGTGGAGTAGGTAGGGGACCTCGCACATGCGCGGAGTACTCTCAGCCTCACTCTGCGTCGCCACACCTCCGGGGCGCGTCGGGAAAGCCAGGTTCCGTGTGGAACCCACGGAGTGCGGGACACATTGGTCGGACAGATAATTGGACCAAGCCAATTATCGTTGTCCCGAGCAACGATTTCGTGACCAAAATTGGACAGGGCCCAATTATGTAAAGGTCTCGCGCGATTAATTCGGCCGACGGTGATTAGCACAACTATCTCTGTCGTCCCGAGCGACGTCTTGGACCATGGACAACCATTATTTACTGTCTCGAGGCGCGTAGTGAGACAGACTCTATGCGGAGCATGTGTGCCGGACTTATTTGGTACTCGCGGCAATTGCGAGTAACCCAGGTTGACGTGTGGGGAGTAGGTAGGGACTCGCACATGCGCGGAGAACTACTCAGGCCTCACTCTGCGTCTCCGAGACCGCCACCGCACCGAGCAGTGGTACTTCTGGTTTTGTGTAGAGCTCGGTACACGCGGGCGAGAGTCTCAAAAAAGTATCGAAAAGAGGTCTCACCGTGCGCAAACAGACTACCTCGGTCTTACCTACTCGGTCCTAACGACTAGTCGTCTCTATCGCAGGACGTCAAGCGGAGAGGGAGGGGGTGTCAAGTTACCCTATGTCCTTGTGTGAGGACAAGAGGGTCTTTCGATACAGAACGCGAGGTTAGGCTCGACGACCTTAGGACAACTTTCTCCTATAAAGGTCCCAAGGAGTTTCCCTCCTTTCAGTCCCCAAAGTGAGGGCAATAAAAAGATTAGGGCTTTTTCTGACCCCCTTACTCTGTTAGGAGCTAGACAGTCATTAATGTTACGACTGCCTAGTTTGTCGCACGACCTTACAAAAGTGGTCCTGGCTGACCAAGTGAAGAGTGGACTTCCTACGTATGAAGGTGCATGGGTAGTAGGCTTTGTGTCCTTTCTTAAGGACGCAAAAGAGTAAAGTCCCTTATAGTCTGGTCTGTTATCAGACGGCAGGCCTATAAAGGACCGAGGAGCGTAAAAAACAATCTTCCGACCTCGGGTGATGTGTCTCCTCCCTACTCTCACACCAAAAGAGACCTGCTGGACGATAAACGACGCCAGCGAGGTCCCTCCTTCAGCGAAATGTCTGCAATGTAGAGCATAGCGTAGACAGTTTCGGACCCCAAAGTATTATTTAACCTTCCTTCTCGACAGGAGAAGGAGAGTCTTTAGCAAATAGACCCTCACCTTAATTTGAGTCGGGTCGTACTCTCGCGCCGAGAGCGCCGTCGCTCACCTCCTTGACTGTCCGAGAGGAGGCCCCACAGTGTTTGACGTGTGTCGGGAGGCACTGCGTCGAACGAGACGCAAGCCGCAGTCGACAGTGCAACGCTACTATGGGACGAACGTTCTCTTGAGGTCTCCACCATAGTAGTGACGGACGGATCTGCCGTTGCGGCTCGTAGAAGAAGTGTATACTCGACACAATAACACTGTGGGGTCTCGACAGTCATGGAAGTGAGACAGCGATAACGGTGGATGAGTACGGACCAGTCAAATAAGGTTGGGTCTATTTGCTAACAATTACATTGTCCCTTCACCTGTCGTGAAGAAGTGTGAGATAGTATCGTTGGGTCCCGAACTGTCTACGTATGCTCTACACTTTGCAGACATTTCGCGATTAGAGGCACCTCGGCTCAGGGCGTCATACCGTACCGAGTAGTGGTCTCTTTAATGCTTGTGAGAGTAGGGATGGAGACACATGTCGCCTGAGGTCGTGAAGAAATGTAGTTTTGAGGACACTCCTCGGTCCTTGTATAGGCCTGCCGTCATGCGTAACGAACAGACTTTAAGCCCTTTCTTGCCACTGTGTGCGGTCCTTTACTACAGAGTTGGACCAACTAAGAGCCTTTCTGCCCAAGTGCAGACCCTTCGTCACGGGTGAGCGAAGTCCACTTCCTCAAGTTGGACAGCGTCGACCAGCCTTGCGTAAGGCTCGGTCGACAAAACCAGCAGCGGCGTTACACATATTAAACTTGAAATCTCGGTCCTAAAGGGCCAGAATAACTTTCTCAATGAGCGTCTCGCGGTCAGCACAAAACTAAGCTCCTAATCGCTTTTAGTCTGGACTCACTTGCTGTGGGGAACCTGAAAAGAGAGAACCACTCCGTCGGGAAACGTATCGGGGGAATACGTTGTAAATCTCGCAAAGGGAGTTTGACAACAGTCGAAATACCCTTCAGTCATAGATCGAGAAGTCCCTCCTAGTCCCTCAACAAAGAGACAAGAAGAAACTGTGCAACTCCTGCCGCCTATCTCTTCCGTCCAGGACAGTAGTGCGAGGGACGACTAAGCCGCGACCGGACGTACGCGCGGGTAGACAGGAGTCTGTTTGCGGCGGTAGAAGGAGTCGCGACCTTACGTAAGTGGGACTCTTCGCGCGTAGCAGGATCTCGTTGGAGACCAGGACCATGCGAACAGTTACCAGCTGCTCGACAGTGTGAGCCGGTGTCGTACTACGAGGAGACGCAGACCCCCTAGTGGGCCTCTGTGGTACGCGTACGTGGTCTCCAGCGCATGTGCCGAGTGCTCCTTTAACCTCACCTTCTCCACCACGTCACGACGGGTATAATCCAGAAGTGCGACGAGTACACTAGTAACATAATCTCCCGCTACACATGCTCAGCACGAGAGCTGTCTTTCCTTAGGCGCTCCCGGGAGAACAGTTGACTCACTACAGCCGCTGTCCAATTTGTGAGCCGAAGACGTCGCCTCGCGACGACAAAATGGGAGAATAAGTTGTCCTAAAGGACAACCGTCGGCCGAATGTAAAACGAGTGCGCAGACCTAGTCGACCAATGACTTGGCAGTCTAGGGTCCACCCGCTGAGGCCGGACTGTGCGTTCTCTCGACGGGACAAGGGGAACGATAATTGAGCCCGGTCGCAATATTAGCCGGAGGTGCAAAAAGTGTGTCGCCCGGCTCCAGAACTTAACAAGGGTTCGCAAGTACGGCAGCCCTTCTATCCCCGACAAAGCGATACCGGTCCTGGCTACGCGCGTAATGAGCTGTACTCGTGTCATGTCGCGGTGCCCCTAACCTAACTCGTCTCACACACCGAAGAGTCATCGCGGGCGTACCCTGTCCCCGCGTCTGATTATAGTACGCGCGAGTACCCAATAATAGCGTTATCACTATCGAATCATCCTCGCTTCAGATATGCTGTTCTCCTTGATTCCGTCGCTGACATCGGGGTCAATAAAGATAGCCTCCATTTCTGGCCGTCCGGAAGATTCGCGCTCCGGGACGTGACCGAGATGCATTATCGACTTCTTAATAAAACCGTTCGCCTCGATCTAACGGGGCGGGCTCGGGAGGAAAGGGTCAAGATGATTGCCTTTCTTCCATTTTCGACGTAATGGTCGTCGAGTGGTGACCGTCGTTTCAGCGCCGCGCAATCTATGCGGCACCCGCAGACGGCGACCACGCTGACGGCATTGGACTGAGCGAGTATGCGGTGACAATAGTACCTAAGGCTAGGACCACTGTCCTATACGAGTCATGAACCCCCAGGTGCAAGTTTACTTGTTCACATGCTCTGTTTCATCGGTATTCTTAGTCATGCAGTATCATATAGGGTACTTACTGCTTTATCCCGACGCTAACGTGACCTGTGTACGCATAAAGTGAGTGCCACGTAGTACTTCCGTACCATTGATGCGAGTCCTCTACTCACCCTTCATCACCTACGTTATGGTCATATCAGGTGTACTCATCCGGGGCAATATTGCGTCGAGTACGCGCACGTATATACGTATGGTTAACACACAACATTCACATTGCATAAGGAGCCTTGAATAAAGTAAGAGAGCCTCCCTTACGGCAGCTCCGGAAAGACGTGGATGGACCCAAATAACTGCTTCAGTTTTAGTCGGGTACTCGTAGACGCTTCAGCTGTAGTGATGTGACGAGTTAAATGGAAAACTTTAGTTGGTCTAATTCACCCCGTTCGGCCGAAATTTATGGCCGAGAACGAAGGGAGACTCCGGAAAAGCGGCCGTTCGTCTTGGGTCCTTCCGCCCCCTCGGAGTGAGGGGAAACTTGAGCGACGGCCTCCTTGGGACAAAAGGACCCCCCACCCCCGGCCCCCCTCGCCCTCTTGCAACCCTTTGCCTCGGGGGACTTCTGGCGGCTTCCGCTCAGGAACTGCGGCGCCCTTCCAAACGGACCACCCCGCAGGAGAGGGCGGACGCCGGAAGGGACACCGGGCCGCACCCTTTGCGGGCGCCCGACGGAACCGACCCGGCCACACGGGGCGACACCCCGGCGAGGTCGGTTCCGAACCCCCCGGGGTCGGGCTTGGTACGGGACCGCTAACGGGGGGGGCAGGGGAAAAGGGCGCCGCAGGAAGTACTGAGGTGGGTACGCGGGCCACCCTTTGGACCCCAGGGATTGTCGGGGGCAATTTGCCCGACTAACCTCCGCAGGGTTCATTCGTATTGAAAAAAGACCGGCAGAAGGCCATTGTCATGGGGCGGACCCGGACGTCCAACCGCGACCTTAGACACAGGGTGGGGCGGCCCTTTTAAGGAGCGGACCCCTCTTGTCACTTGCCTGCGCGTGTCTTCCACCCCTTCGCCAGCACGACCAGGGGCGGGAACGGGACCTTAAAAAAAGGGAGCGGGAGCCAACCCACCCCCTTGGCGAAGGATGTTCAATAGGTGGTGGGCTCAAAAAAACCTCTCGTTCGTGCTACCTTTTATAAGGTCGGCGGGGCGGAACTTTCCCGTGACCAAAACCACGTGGGCCAGCCGACCGGCCGCTGTATGGAAGAGAACCCCCTCGAGTTGTGCATTTCCGCGGCAGTACCAACCCTGCTTGGCCTCTTGTCCCCTGTGGCGGTACGAGGGGCAGGGCGGTTTTGGTCGGGGGGACGAGGGCTTAGGACAAGAGGGGGTCAAGGGGCCCCCTCCTCCCTCCCCCCTCCCCCCTCTTTGCGTGCCACCTTTGGTACATCCTTTTCTGGCCCCCCCGTTCCCTCAGCAGGCTGGAGACCGGACCCGTTGAGCGAGGGTCCCTTTTGTACGACGGCAAGGTGCACGAAGGGAACCCTTGCCCGGGTAGCAGGGGAGCAGCCCGGCGTCGTTCGATCTCGGGCAGGCGAAAGGAAAGGCGAAAAGGACAGCCCTGACTACCCTTCCTGCCCGGTGTTACAACCTCGGTTTCGCTGGACGGACCCGACTTTCTTCGGGCAAGGGCGCAACGAGGAACCGGGGTCCCCCGTCCTTTTATGGCGTGTAACGGCAAAGACCCAGGTATCGGAGTACCTATAATAGGACTCGGGTACTTTTCCCTTTGTTAAAGCTGCGTCAAACAAACCAGTACAAAATTACAAAAGACCCCCAACGAAGTCATTGACGGCTCCCAAAAAACCCGCTCTTTTCTCCCTTAGTCTAAAAAACGGCCCGGAGGAAAGGGTAAGGATCGGCCTTCTCCGGGCTCCCGCCCCGGGGTGGAAACGCCCCACCGCCGCTGATGTCACCAAAAAAGTCACCTTCGCGCCACGGCGTCCCCTAAATGGTATCGCTATCGGGAATCTCCCCCGCTTCGGTATATGGCTTTATCTTGTGTATTGCTCAAAAATCCAACTTCCCTGGCCACTTCAACCTCGTTTTGTTGTGGAAATCGGGATTGTTGTGATCGTACCGGGTGAAACAGGCATATGTACTTAAATTTGAGGAATGCCGCGAGCTCTGCAGGTTATTAACCGAGGTTAAAACGGGCAGGCTTCTGCAGCGAGCCCTGCTGGTAATCAACAGATTAGTGGCAGCCGGCTTAATTAGCGAGCTCTGCAGTTTATTAACCGATAGGTTAAAACCAGCAGGCTTCTGCAGCAAGCCCTAGGCGCCGTGGCACTGCGGGCGCTGACGCTGGGGGCACTCAGCCTGGAATACTGCTCATTCCCCCGTTCTTGCTTCTCTGTGATGTGCTGTAATGGTCGTCATGGTGACGAGCCACGCCATTGCCCTCGCCGCCGCTGCCCGTGAGGCGAAAGGGCTGCGAGGAAGCCTCCACACGCTGCGTTTCACTCCGGCTGTCATCATGAGGCGTGTACACGCTCAGGGGATGAGTGGAGGTGTGTACAGTGCTGTCCACATGAGGCGTTATAACGGCGCTCATGGGTTATTATGACCGTGTGTAGGAGGCATATCTCGGACGGAGGAATGCCGCGAGCTCTGCAGGTTATTAACCGATAGGTTAAAACCAGCAGGCTTCTGCAGGGAGCCCTGCTGTCTACTTAATCAACAGATTAGTGGCAGCCGGCTTAATTACCGGCTCCGCTTCCTCGGAGGCTCTCGCGGAGCAGACCAGGAGCGGGGGAGCCTCACTTCCCTTTGACTCGCCGCCGGGGGACCCTGTCTCTGGGGTGGCGGGGGAGCGGAGACGTGGGACAGAGCCCCTGCAGCCGCCGAAGGGCGAGTCTGACGCCGAGGCGGTTGCTGTGGGCGTCTCTCTGCTTGCGGCCTCCTGTTGCCGGCGTGGATGCTGGGGAGTTGGTGTCGCTGTGGGCGCTCAGCAGGCTGGAGCCAGCTGACATGCTGGCGAATGCCGTCCGCCTGTTCCGCGGCCGTCTTCATGGACTCCACCATGGGGTGGAACTGGGGTCCGAACAGCCCGTACGGGCTGATTGGAGCGTCCAGTAGCAGTTTTCTGGCCGTCTCCGTAACAGACGCCTGCTGCAGCCAGAGGTGGCGCTGGATCTGTGTCACCCACGCGGAAATCCTCGCCTGGGAGACAGCGACGGACGCGCACGGAGTGAGCGCTGTGCTGACCGCCTTGCTGATTTCTTCTGCCTCGGTGGTGGACCGCTCTACCAGTGTCACCACCGAGTTGGAGAGCAGCGCGATGATATTCGCCGCCGCCTGAAAGGCACACTGGTGCACCCGGTCGGCCTGGTGGGCGACATACACATACTGGGGAGCTCAACGTAGGGCGCCGTCCTGTGGCGACGGAGAAGGGGACCGCATGCTCGGCCGCCAAACCAGCCCCCTGCTCCGACTCTGTCTCCCCCGTCCGGGGGAGAGGGGGGAGGGGAGAACCGCACGGTGAACCATGGAGGGAGACGGGGTAGGAGTCGTCCGACTCTTGCCCGGCACTCGGCTCCAGGGACATGCTGCCGTCCACGTGCTCCTGGACGGGCCAATCGTCCTCGTCGGCCGCAGCAGCTAGAGCGTCCGCTCTTCGCTTACTGTCGGCTGATGGGAGACGGGCACAATGTGAGCAAGCGACCTGCTGGCTAAGAGCCGCGTCCGCGTGCTCTGGCCCCAGGCAGGATTCGCACATTGCGTGCTGGTCATAGCTCATGATATATCCTGAGCCACATGAGGGACAATTTCGGACGCAGTTGTTGCTCATGATGATTAATGGTTCTGTGCTTCAGTAACTGCCGCGGTTTGCTGAAGAAAAGAGGGAGCAGATTGCCGGGCCTCCTTCCTATTTATACCGGAATGAGGCCCGAGGGTGGGGCCCACCTTGCAAGTGTTTCAGTGCTGCGCGGTTGCGCAGGGGGATTACCCAATAGCGATAGCCTTAGAGGGCGAAGCCATACACGAAATAGAAAAATATTTGGGGCGGAGGAGCGGCGAACAAACAACGCCAGCACCCTCGGCGACCCGGGAAAAATAATTTATTTATATTTTTATGTTTATATTTGAGCTAACAACGTGTCCAGAGATCAAAGGTATCCATGGTGATCGAATAAATGTGGCAAAGGCTCAAATGTGTTGAACAACACATTTGTAACAAGTTTGTTAAAGGTGGGGTAGGTAAGTTTGAGAAATCGGCTTGAGATGCACTTTTTGTTATATTCCATGGAATGCTCTTAACATCCCGATAGCAATGAATATCTTTAGTGCTTTGACAAAAAATACATAAAAAAATCTGTGGAAGCCGTAGTACTGTAAAAAGCAAAACGGAAAGCAGATGTGTTGGATTATGTTTGGAGTGGACAGTAGAACAACATCCTGCCTTTTGTAAGATGTTATATGTCCATTAGAATCTATCTTTAAATTGGATGTGATTATTTTCCTGTTTATATTGTCAAGCTACTAGTTTTTGTTCTGTCACTTATGTACATTCGGTTCTACAGGCATTTTAATACTTGGGTATTGTCATTAAATAGAACACAATGGGGATTTGATTCCAAACTGCAGTGCTTTACACACAGCTGTGAAAGCAATGCACTCTATAGACAGGAATTAGGAAATAAAAGCTGGACTAGAGTTAAGAAATGTGTAAACATTTACAGACACAACAACAAACACATGCATAAACATACACACTGTCACAAAAGCCTACATAAACAAGAACAAGTTTGCAGTCCAACAACAAAAATAAAATGTTCTGGGCACCGTGAGACCACCAGGAATAAGTTGACTGACGCGGCTTCCTGTTTACATCTACTGTTAAAACATGATAAGGGTGTAACTGCAGATACGGGAGATGAAAAGGAGAAATAAAGGCACCATAGCTTTAGCTGACATTGAACTCAAAATAAGAAGCCAGTTTTGACTTGGGGTCTGGAAAGAAACAAATATCTGGGTAGCTGCTTCTAACAGATGTAAGAAATTAGGAATACAGCAAACAAAAATAATAATGCATAAAATGAACATGTGTTGATGGTCACATCTTGCAGTATGTGCTCTTGACGAGAGCCATATTATTGGAAATGAAATACAATTATTTTTGTTATTAACGGTTTGCCAAAAAAAGGTGTCAGGAGTGGGGGGGGAGTTTGTGCACTTTATGGAGCATTTTCCCCATTGTTTTAGGTTTTAATTTGTATGTGTTTGAGGAAGAAGAAGGATACATTTCACCAAAAAAGGGTCATGACAGCCATTAGAAACATATTATTAAAATCTGTCTCAGAGAGACTGTGGCACAAGGCACCTCTGCTTGACTTAGCATCTCTCCTTTCCTCAAAAAGGAACAAAGACAGAGAGATAAAGAGAGCTCCAGGAGGCCATGAAATATGTATGCAAGCATTTAACCTCAGACATTTTGTCAACCACTCTCCTCAGTCATGGCCGGTCAAAGCTTAAGTGCAACCCACTCCGGCGCTCTTGTTTGTTTGCTAACCCCGAGTACCTGTATTAGCCTAGCACAACCATAAAGCCCACAGGGAGTGGAGCTTCTTCAACCGTTTATGTGAACCTAAGTTGTCTATCCACTTTAAAGATTTTAGCCCTGCAAGACACTGCAGCTCAAGTGATGGAACGTCGTTTTTTAAAAACTCAAGAGAAATTGGTCAGCTTTACAGGCTGAGTGAGTGTGTGTAGGCTTATACCCTCATTCAAAGTCACAATGTGCTCTGCCTAACAGAGAAAGGTTATCCTCTATAGAGTCTATACAGTATAGCCTTGAAATGTGATGTATTTCTCTAACAACTGTTTTGATGCACATACTGTACAGATGAGAAGATTCTTTATTTGTTAAATACATGCCACAATATATATTAGAAAAGTTACCTGACCCCTGTAAAATCCCTGTATACCATATAGATGACACAAACCGTATATATCCACACTCGATTGATCAAAACAATATTATAATTGTCAAAATATGTTGGATCTTTTCTGTCATCTAATCATACTCTGGATTATGTTCCAGTGCACCTGGGAACTAATCTGTTTTCACATTTCACAAAATGTGCTTTATTTGCTAGGAGATACTCTAATATAAGTTAGTTCTTCAAACTAATCCTTGGTTTGGAGAAAGTGGTGAAGAGGGGAACTCCTTTGCAAGTTTGTGCCAGAAAGTGTAGGGAACTCTCTGTTTTTAATCTTTGTGTCAAATGTTCACAAGCAATACTTCCGCAGAAGGCAGATCCCACTCACAGCCAAGGGTTGGTGTACACACACTTCAGATTTCAACAACATAGCCGGAAGCATCAGCTGCAGTAGCTGCTTCAGCATCAAAGTCTGTATGCAACCTGAATTTCTCCTTTTTTTTGTAAAAAAATGTCTGTTATTGGGAAATGCAACTGGCTTTCAGTTCAAAGCAGTCTTCCTCCCGAGTAGGGATGAATTGTTTTATCAGTAAGGTCAAAAAATGAATGGCATAGATTAAACATTACACTTTCCAAAGAGTCGATGCTCGCTTTGTCAATACGGCATTGGTTGAACTGCTTGACTGTGCTTGACTCCCCTTTAGCCCTGAGGCTGCCTCCAATTAATCTTGGATCAATTTCCATAGCGATAACAGTGATTCAAAATGTTATAGTGGAATTCTTTCCAGATAGTGCATATCCAGCCAAGTGGCACTTGATAAGCCCATGGTCGAGAGGTAAAGTGTTGGTCAATCCCCAGGTGGGTGGTTCAATCCCCAGCCCCTGCAGTCAATGTGTTGAAGTGTCATGGGCACTGTTTATAAATGGTTTCTGTATGCGTGTGAATGTAGCCTTGTTTGGCCGCCTCTGCCTATGTATGAATGTGTGAGAGTGGGCGAATGCTTACGTGTATGAGTAAAAGGGCTTTGAGGGTTTGCAAAGACTCAAAAAGTGCTACATAAATCCATTAACTATTGAATGCCTTAAAAAGAAAATTAAACATTGCTCGACCTACAAACTCCTTTTGCAATCTTGTGTGAGACATTTTTTAAATAAATCATATCTGGCAGTGAGCAACCAATTTACTAAAGTAATTTTTTTTATCTGAAGCTATATAAAATAATTAACAAATTAATTTTCATGTGAAGAAAGCACATGGTTGGAGCCAGTACGTTTTATTTTCAGGTCACATTCTGTATCTCAAACTGGGAATATGAGGCTTAAAATAATAGCGACAATAGGATTTGTCCTTGTGTAGGAGTTTTGTTCAAGGACCAAGCAACTTTAAGGTATTGTGTTGACTTTGTAATGTTTCATATGCAACAATATCTTTGACTGGAGGGAATAAACCAACATCTGTCCCTCAAATGAGGTCATGGTCACTTTGCATCATCTCTTGCACCTGGTCACTGGGACCCATTTTCGTAGACCTGCCAACAGCAATCCCCTGATCAAAGACACTTTTTTCTTTAGCCGACTGAGCTTAACCCAAAAGTATCTGAGGCAATAAGAATTATTTCAAGGAATTGTTCTGAAGCACACTGTAATGTCTATAGTTTTGTTCTTGATGTTAGCTTTCTTATTTCTTATTTTGTATACCATCTAAATACTCCTGCATCTTCATTTTCACTCTTGTCCTCCTCATCTCACTCTTCTGCTCTTGCACGCTCATTGGCATGCACACTGAGCGTCCTCTGGGAGCAACACATCACCATTATTCATGGACGGAGTACACCTCAGAGCCAGACTGACAGATCAAAAGATGTTGATGATAGGCGGGGATAGTGGTGGTCGGGGTGATAAATGGCCCCATCTTTTGGAGATGGCTATACTAAGTTTGGGGACAGAGCTGCTTTCACAGTTTCAGGGGTGTTTGTTTTCGGCCACAGTTATATAACCCTAAACTTGCATTGCATGTTGTTAGCATGCATTATAGCCAACATACAGTATAAGCAAAAAATGTTTTCTTCAAATGTATTTTACTAAATATCAAACTTAAATTGAACAAGCCATATAAGACTGGCCTTAGATACTTACTGTAATTTAATATCATGGTCACTTTTAAATATGTAGGCCTACATGTTTTTGTATGTTGAACAATCTCAACTACGGAGCCCCCTAGGGGACACGGAGAAGAAAAAGAAAAAAAATAGAAAAAAAAAATAATAATAATGTTTTGCGAGATCTCGCAAAACTTTTCATTTAGCTCACTGTACTTCCTGGTTAGTTCGGCTGCTACGGCAACACAGAAACCACAACAATGGAGTGGTTCATCGCTTTTACTGTACTTTGAGCTTGGCCTTAAATATAAAGATATAACATTAGTGCTTGGCAATAGGCACGGGTTTCACACATAGACTGTATATATAAAGGGTTTCACATAAGTGAAGACACCTCAAGAGAACTCTCAGAGCGACGAGACATTCACGTCCCTCTGAGCTGAGTTATTGACAGATTGGAATTTCGCGGATCAATAACTCATGAACATAACGTTGTAAAAATACAAACAACATGACTTTACAATCATAGCAAGGTAGACAACGAGCTACAGAGTCGTTTTTATCAGAACATTTTGATACGCGCCGTCATCCGAGCTACACATCAAGATGTGGTCACAATCTGCAGCTGGAGGAGGGAGAGGAGTGCTTAGGGACCGTCTACAAACTCCAACGGGGTTTTGCGAGATCTCGCAAAAGTATTGCGAGATCTCGTAAAAGTATTGCGATATCTCGCAAAACATTATTATTATTTTATTTTT